AATAGCCGCCTGAGCGAATCTTCTTGTTGCTCGAGCAGCTGGGTCTTTACCAGAATGATTCCTCAAGCAGATGTGTGGCGTGGTCAGGTGACCAGCATAGTGACTGGCGAAACATATCGTTGGAAATTCGTAAGCTCACTCAACCGCGCTTCAGAAGAAAAGGCCGGCTGGCCAAAGAACCTCTTCATGGTGCCGGCTGCGTCATCATCATCATCATCAACAGGAGTACATCAGCCATTTGAACTGATGCTTCGCTGCCATACAACCATGAGGACCTTTGAAATAAAGAATAAGAAAAGGCAGAGAAGGGGGACTTACCTGAAAACCTTAATGCCCTAAGCAAACATTCAGGGTCAAGGCGCCTACACCTTATTTTAACAACATACCGTCACAAACAGCTGGCTATCGTGCAAAGATAAGGCGGCATCGGCGAGACAGCTTCCTTGCGGCTTTCACTGCCACGCGTCATAATCAGCCATTACCCCGCAGGTAACTCAGCACCAAACACACTTTAAACAGACAATCCGATTAAGCGACGGCAGCAGGCGCGCCACTGGTGTCGGTTGCGAGCCATGTCCTGTAAAGTCTCGAGCCAAGCACAAGGTGAGTCACGTGGACTCAAACACGGAAGGCGAGACGGACCAACGGCACCCAGTTTGGTCGTCAGTGACTTCATTTCCCGCTGCCAAGTCAACTTCTGTCCACCTCGAGCCTTGCGCCATCCGACACCTGGTAGACTGAACAAGGCCCTCCTAGGTAAGCGGTGACCAGGCATGCGTAGCACGTGCCCGAGTCAACGTAACTTATTCAGTGCTATCTAATGTTCTAGGGAGCTAGCATGAGCATCACCACCTAGTACTCGCCTACGCACATCATTGTTGCGGACACGCTGGTGCCATCCGACACCAGCAGTGCTTCGCAAACAACGATGATCAAAGATTTGAAGGCGCCTCAGATCTTCAGACCGGAGGGGCCAATTTTCACTATCATACAGCAGAACGGCCCTCACTGTGGCCTTGTATACACGACCTTTCAGACGGGGTGAAACTCACTTCTGTCGCCAAAGATGACGCAGGTTCAAGAAGGCAGCTCTGGCCTTTGCAATGCGTGAGCTCACGTCAGTTTCTATGCGCCCATCATTGCTGATGCAGCTGCCAAGATAAGTGAATTGATCAGCCACCTCGAGTTCCTCGTTAGCAAGCGTCAAGGGGTCATCGAGTGGCTGGTGGTCCTGCAGCAACACTTTGCACTTTGTAGGTGCGAAGTGCATACCAAATAATGGGACCACCCTGGATAGGCTATTCAGGGTTGATTGTGCCGCCTCAACCTTGTCGAAAAGCAAGACGATATCGTCCGCATAATCTAAGTCAACTAACCGTTCACCAGGCAGCACTTCAACACCTATATCCTGAGATTCCGCAAGGGAACACTCCATGATAGAATCCACGACGAAATTGAACAAAAACGGGGAGATCGGACAACTCTGACGAACGCCACTTGTAGTCGAAAAGCTATCCGATAGGGCACCATAGACCCTGACGCGGCCTCTAGTGTTCGAGTATAGAGCACGAAGGATGTTCACATATTTCGTGGGAACACCTTTCCGCGCAAGTATTTCGAACAGAATCGATCGATCGACTGAATCGAACGCACTCTTGAAATCGAGGAACACAGCTATTGTCGGTCTGCGGTATGCGTGGCGCTGCTCTAGCACCTGCCGCAAAGTAAATATATGGTCTATACAGCCACGTCCTGGGCGGAAACCGGCCTGCTCTTCTCTAATCCGAGATTTCCGTTCTGCAGTGAGGCGACGAACGATAATCGAGGCCAGTAATTTTGTCACAACTGGCGTTAGGCTAATAACCCTGTGGTTCACACAGTCTGTGCGACTGCCCTTCTTGTATATTGCCACTATAACCGACTCGCTCCAATTAGCCGGCACACTCTCTTCGTTCCAGATACGTTCGAATAGGGAGGACAGTGCTTTGCAGTGGACCTCACCACTATCCTTCAATAGTACAGGTGGTAGGGAATCCGGGCCAGCGGCACGAAAACGATTAAGGGCTGTGATCGCGTTTCGGACCTCGGCCTCCGACGGAGGCTCTAAACTAACCGTCCATGGCACGTCCTGCATCACCTGAGTAGGAAGAGGTCCGGGAGCAGGGGGCCAGCTGAACGGATGTTCAAAGTGCTCAGCCCAACGAGCCATACGGCGCTGCTTATTGTGTATCAGCGCACCCGCACTGTCCCTGATTGTCTCTCTGACGCCTGATGTTCTCGGGCCAGTGGTGCGGATTAGCTGGAAGAGCTTGCGGCAATTGCCTACTGCTCCTGCCTCCTCCATTTCTTGAGCTTGACTGGTCCACCAGGCTTCCTTGTCAGCACGTAGGCTCCGCTTTAGTTCACGCCTAATTGCCCGTCTGGTCACATTGTGTTCAGAACCAGCCGGGAGGTGCCTTCTAGCTTCCAAAAGGTTCACGGACCTATTGGATATCCAGTGACTGGTGCGATGACGACTGATAGTGCCACAAACAGATGCTCCTGCGTCGTGCATAGTGGCCGAGATCTTATTCCACTGAAGATCAGTGTCATTGGGACAAGACAGCGAGAGTTCGCTATGCAGTGCTTCTTGATAGGCTTGCCTGACAGAGGGCTGGGACAATTTCTCCGGTGCCAATCGGGGGAGACGCTTTGTGCGCCTTCCGGTAACGTTCATGGAGAAACGACAGCGCACCAAGGCATGGTCAGAGTCGACACAGGTACTCCAGTACGAGCGGCAATCCAGAATGGAACCACGCCACCTGTAACTTATGGCTATGTGGTCAATTTGGGTCCATCGCTGGCCAGCTACAGGTGGACGCCAAGTGGCACTTCGGCGCCCACTGTGTCTAAAAGCAGTGCTAGTAAGAAACAACTGGTGCTCCGCACACAGTTGCAGCAGACGCTCGCCGTTGTCAGTCCGTTCGGAGTTAAGTCGATACTTACCACCCAGCTGAGCTTCTGAAGAACTCAGACGCCCTACTTGTGCGTTCATATCCCCTGCAAGTACTATAATATCTGAACTAGTAGCACTGTGTAGCAGCGTGTTCAGTTCGTGATAGAAAGTGTCCTTGACTGCATTAGAACTGCAGTCGGTGGGAGCATAAGCAGAAATCACAAACAAACAGCGTTTTGTTTTACTTCGCGAACTCACCTTAGCTGATGTCGTCAAACGGGCTTCACATAAACGACTGTTCACCGGAATCCAATCAACCAACGATAACTCAGCCTTGGAGCTGAGAATGATACCTACACCAGCTTGACCCGTGAGTGCCGCATCGGCGTCTCCGGATGCGTGCAACCAATAACGAGAGGATAAGCCGGGCGCAGTCAATCCAATAACCCCGTTAGGGTCGTTAATCCTAGGTTCGGACACACAACACACATCAACACCCAGTGTGTCCAAGGTGCGTGCGAGTGCAGCCTGCTGACCTGTTTGTCTTAGAGTACGGACATTGAATGTCGCCATGGAAACGGGACAGCGTGGTCTTATAAGGGACTTTTGCCGATAGGCGTCCGATAGGTGCTGTGGGATGGTGGCTGCAGATGGTTCTACTCCAGTAGCACTTCGGTTGCTGTCAATTAAGCTGGGAATTATAGAAGGAAGGTCAGTAATGGGGGCCGGGGTGGGAGTAACAGAAAAAGTTGGAAAAGAAAGAAGGGAGGCGCCAGCAGTAGCATGCTTCCGCTTATCCGCCCTGCTGTATGCAGCAGATAAGGCGACCCTTGATAACCTGCGCGACGGCCGATGCAGGATGAAGTTTATGTTTGAAGAAAATGTCATGGTTGTATGTGGGCTGGGATACTGCCAGGGCGCCCAGACCTAGACAGGAGAACGATTAGGGTCCTCATCCAGAGCCTTTGGCTCAAAAGCCTGTCAGCAAGGCAGCGGGGTGGCAGTGATTTAGTTTTACAGAAATGGACGCCATCTCATTTCAAACCCCCAACCTGGAGGACCAGGAGACTGAGTTTGTCTGACCTCTCACCATTGTCCAACCTGGTAGGAGAAGCTCTCAAGATGCTCGGAGGCATCACCCAGTATATGGGTCATTGAGGTACGCAAACCGTCGCACCACGTTAAGGTCCAGTCTCGTTGCGACGGTGGGTGGGTTGGCTGGGTGGTTTGGGTTCAACCCCTTTCCTGCAAATAGTTCGGCGGCAGCGTTCCAGGACGTGATGGGCTTTCACCTAGCAAGCCTTCACCCTATAAACCTCCACATAGGTGTGTTTAACAATAATGAGACGTGGCGGTTGTGACTCGCCACCAAATAAGTCACCCAATTTGCCTACCTGGAAAACTACTACAAGTTCAAAGACCTCAAGCAGCTATTAGCCTTGCATCAAGTTCAAACACAATCAAAGGAGCAGGAACACGTCTACAAATATTACAACCACAGTTGCACACGCCTACATGATTGGCGGCATCCGGTTTCGGATTTGGCTGTCACTGTGGCCAGCCACATGACGGATACGCCTACAGAGAGACCATGGGTGGCTTGCGCTGCACCACCCACAGCTCAAACCACACACCACATATCCAGTGTAAACCCGAAGGAATAAGACCGGGAGGCATGTGGATGGGCGCCACGTTTCATCAACAGAGCCGGCCCAAACTCCTTCACAGACAAACACAAGCGCACTGTATTTGGGGAATCAAGCGCACACAAGGCGGTGGCTGGACCGTAGTCCGCTCCGCACTGACTGTATGGAACCGCTCTTTGAGCCTAGCACGGCCACAAGGACCGTGCACCTTGTCCTCTCCAGCAACGTCCAACTGTCTCCTGGAGCCAGTATGAACGGGGTAGTGGGTAATAAACAGGTAGGTACCTTGTAAACATAGATCAAGCGCAGCCACACCGGGGATATCAAACAACAGCCATTCACTTTAAACGACAAGCTGAAATAAAATAAATCCAATAATGCATACAGATACGTGGCATAACTTTTCGCTAAATTACCATATGAAGTAAGTTGGTTAGCAACGAATCCGTGATAAGTAAGAAATGTCCACAAGTTAGGTAAAAATGCTACAAACGCAACAAAATTACCGAAGCTAAGCGCAATTAGCGTAAGCAACGTGGCCAGTTAATAGAACATTATTCAGGTAGGCAGTACAAACCAAATAAAGTGGAATGAAGTTTAGCCAGCTTAAAAAGATCTAGTTTATGTGTACGTTGGTTTAGCCCAACTGCGGTGAGTCAGCATCAAGAGCGCAACATCAGCCTTAGCATGGGGCACGACTGTGGAGAATACATACCTACATACATACACCCACGGCTGGTTCACTACGCCTGAAGTAGACTGAGTGTCATAGTTGTTCAGGCAAACCCACGGTGCTTCAGTAAGTACTCAACAGGATGTATGGCAACACGTCCGTCTGTCGCAACGGTCAGTGAATTGGAATCCAAGGGAAATTACCTCAGAATTTAACCGCGCCTCGGTCAGTCCCAGTTTGTCTGCCTACAGGCAATGAGGAGGCATAGCTTATATCGTTTGATTATGGTCATAGCAACTGTTAGGAGCACATGTAGCGTTAGCAATACTTCGATCCGGATGTGACGAATTCCGGTAACTTCGTGAAATCTACTATACGGGAAATTCGTTTCTTATCTCACTGTGAAACTGAACCTGAACGGGATGCGATGGTTTGCATACCTCCGTGACCCGTCGAACCTCGTTGGGAAGCAATGTTGAGTGCCACTTGAGCCCAATATACTAGACATATCCATGGAAAGGAATCAGAATTAGTCAGCCTTAAAATCCTCTCTTTGAATGCTTAAGACAGTTGGATAGCCCTCTTCCCCTGAAAACCTAGCCATGGGAGACGACAGGTCTACGGGTTATAAGTTCACAACTCGATCGGCGTAGAGCACGGGCACCATGCATTGTCTCTGACGGCGGGAGGGTTTCGCCAAATACTCACTGGTTTGGTACCGCCCACCTCAAGCCAGGTGGTCCCAGGTCAAATTTTTGATAACCATCCACCTCCCACCTGTGGCTGGCCGTGGTCACAGGTTGGCGGCATCCGGTTCCGGATTGGCGTGTCGCTGCAGCCGCCATAGGATAGGCGCAGGACGCCTGCGTATACAGTGGGACCATGGGTGGCTTGCGCTGCCACACACACCATATCCAGTGTAAACCCGCAGGAGGCATTTGAATGTGAATGGGAGCAAGGTTTCCTCAATGGAGCGGGCCCACACACATTCAACATGAACAAAAGTAGCATTTACAGAAGAGTAGTAGGGGGAGTTGTATGGTATAGGTAGAATTTCGTCACATCTAGGCTCACTCAGACAGCCGCCACACGCCCGGAAAAGCACTGGACGCGCGTTTCATCCTTTCGGGAATCATCAGCAGTGCGCGTTCCATCGGACCCTTGGTAGGGCTCGAAACCGCAACTCGACTGTTGCCAGTCCGTGCTTGAGACCACTGAGCTACGGGGACGGCAACGACCATCGTGAATAAGTTACTAGATGTGATATAGCGCCGCTCACTATTGCTGTTTAGCTAAACTGGAAAGCATGCGTACCAGACGTACACAAAGCGGTAGCTTCACACCGGACGGAACCATTCTTTGAACTTAGCACGTCCAAGAGTGTCGTGCACCTCATGCCCCCGTACAAGATTCAAAAAGATCTTGAGCCAGCAACCAAGGTAGATGGCATTGGACACGTAGGCAACTTGTCAATATCCACCTCAAGCACAGCCACACCGGGGTATCAAACATCAACACGGAATTCGAAGAAAAACTTGGCAGGGAATATGCAGCGGAATAACAGAACTAGGCAAATCAAATACAGAGGAATACCTTCCAGATTATATATAAATATATATATATATTCATCAAAAGATGTGTACATATACTGTGCCACCGGAACCACGGCGAGATAAGAAAACAGGGTTAGGGTAAAAGAAGAAAGAGAAGAGTATATTTTGTTTATCTACTTACCGTTTTTGAGTTTTTATTGGGTGCGGAAAGGGGAATCACCGCATCAAGCAAATATACACGCCCGCCAGTAAGTGCGGTTTTGAGCCATGAATTCCAACATTTTTAACCAATTGCACTCAGCATCCTTGGGACCCTATGCAGGGAGTTGGGCGGAACCAACCGTGACCAGCTGTTTTGGCAGCTTTCTCATCACGCTTCTCCAAGCTGTAGACTGTCCACCACACCGCCTCCTCAAACCTTGTCCAGGGACCGCAAAAGAGGCACGAAGAAGAAGACGCTGAGCGGGCACACGCAGTACCTCTCCGAGTCATCGGTTGGCGCATCGAGACAAGCGCCTCGAGGGAATGGCTGTCTCCACCCAGGATACGCTGTCTGACTTCAGCGTTGGTTACGTGGTTTAGCCAACACACACGGGCAATGGACCGCAACCAACGGTTCTCGAAGACAGACAGTTGACGTAGATCATCAGTACGAGCAGGCCAAATCTCGTACACGCAGAACAGTACAGCGCAGACAATAGCACTATAAACCCGTCCTTTGATGAAGTGACGGATGTCATGGCGGTGCCATAAATGCTTCGGCCTGGAGAAGGTGAGAAAAGCTCTTGAGGTACGCATCGAAATATCGTTTCCAACGGCCCCACCGGCAGTTATGCAGCTTCCCAGGTAGACAAAACTCTGTACCACTTCTAACGTTTCCCCATGGACGTTGAGGGCAAGTATGCCACTCTTGAAAAGCGCTCTGCACTTTGATGGTGAAAAGTGCATGTCTTTATTCGGCGCTACAATCGCCAGGCGGTTAGACGCAAGTTGGTAGGCCTATGGACCGTCACCCAACAAGAAGAGTTCATCAGGGTAATCCAAACCAACCACCCGACGCTCTGGGAAAAGCTCAATGCCAGCATTCAACCAGTCTTCTAGAGCCTTTTTTGAGGACATCCTCAATGGGAAAGTTGAAGAGGAATGAAGAAATAGGGAATCCTTGTCGAACCCCATTGGTGACAACAAAGGTAGGCGAAAGTATGGTATAAGCCTTACCTCTACCCAAGATTTGACTATACAGAGCACGCAGGATGGAAACGAACCTCCCGGGAACATCATTCCTCAACAGCCACCGCAGTGAGGCTGGACCTTATCGTGGTGCGATGGTTTGTGTGCCTCAGCGATCCATTGAGCTATGCTGGTGGTGGTTTTGCACCTCCAGAGTCACTCATACCAGATTGGTCAACGGTTAGAGGCCAGACAAACTCAGTCTCCTGGTCGTCCAGTATGGGGGTTGGAATGAGGACCGCATCTGATGCTTAAAACAGACTCCTTGTAGCCCAACGCCAAACCCGCTGCCTTGCGGTCAGGTATTTTAAACCCAGGGCTTTGGTTGAGAACCCTACTCATTCTCCTGTCTAGGCCTGCGCAACCTGACAGTATCCTGCCCACGCAATACTATGAATCTTTCCTTAAACAATTTTCTGATGCTCTGGCCACCGCAGAGGATAATCAACGGTGCCCTATCTGCTGCATCGAGCAGGGTGGATAGGGGGTTTGGATGCTACTGCTCAAGCATTCCCGGCTTTTTAGTCCCCCTCTCACGCATTTTCACCCTTATCGTCCCCTTCCAACTTCACTTATATCCCTAGTTTTCAACCCCTCGATTCTTGGCACTCCCACAACATGTTTTGCTAGGCATGTATCTTCTAATTTCCACTGACAGGCTAACGCGGGGCTTCACTCCTCTCCTGTCGACAAGACCATGTCCAACCAAGCCGTCCATTTCAGTTCATCGGCTTCCATTTGGAGCCCTCGATCCTCTTTCAGATTGGCATGCCTCAATGTACGCACACCGCTACAAATCGGTCAACAGGCAGCACTTGCCCGAACATTGGAGACCCTCTCGATCGATATCTGCTGCTTATCAGTGATCCGGCTGCAAGACTCGATCCCAGTGCTCACTCTGCGATCCACTTTAGGTGACGCAAACAGTATTTTCTCATTCCGCCTATTCGGTGGGGATGCAGCTTCGAGCACCAGCCAAGCTGGTGTTGGGATTGCTCTGAGTCCCCGGGCTGAAGCTGCTCTGGTTGATTGGATTCCAATCAGTAGCCGGATGTGTGCGGTCCGCTTGGCCGGATCGTTTAAAGCCTCGCAGTCCCGCGGGACTAATAGATGTCTATTCATCACCGCTGCCTACGCGCCTACTAACTGTATCGATGATTCGGTAAAGAACGACTTCTACCGCACACTGACCCAGCTCCTTCGCCACAAAAGAAGCGCGGTCCCTGTTGTGCTGGCGGGGTATCTGAACGCACAAGTTGGAAAATTGTCCACTGATGAAATGCATCTGGGCGGGCAGCACGGTGTAGGCTCCGTTAATGATAACGGTGAGCGGTTACTTCATTTGTGTGAAGATGCTCGCTTATTTCTTGTGAGCACTAATCTCCGACACAGCACCCGCCGGAGGGTGACTTGGCGCTCACCAACCTCGAACCAGCCTTGCACGCAGATCGATCACCTTGCTATCAGTTCCCCTGGAGAGACTGCATCCAGAACTGTCGCTCGATTTGGAGCACATGTGTGGACACCGCTCATGCACTTGTATGTGCTGACATGCGGATGCGTTTTGGCGGAAGCCCACGACGACATTGTGAGCGCATTGACACCAGCCAACTGGCAAAGCCAGCTGTTCTGAATGCGTATCGAAGTGAACTGACATGCGAGTTGAGTAAGCGCTCACTGGAGACAACTCATGGCCACTGGTCACATGTTCGCCAATCTTTACTAGCAGCAGGCAAATCCTCATGTGGTATGTCTAATAGCCAACATGGATATTGGGTCGCTTCGCGGTCTCTGGAACTTATCGACGCTCGCCGGCATATCCCGGTTGGAGGCGAACACAATGCAACTAGCAAAGAGCTCCGGGCAAAACTCTGTGCTAGCCTGAAGAGAGAACGCAAAACTTGGTGGCCTCATCGTGTGTCAGAGATGGAAGTGGCCGCCGCCCTTGGCAACCTTTGTAAGTTATTCTGTCTGATACGGGAAACGGGCAGCAGGAGACCTGGTGTAAGTGAAACAGTTTTTGATGAGAGTGGACAGCCTATTCACAATTTGTCAAAACGGTTGGAGCGTTGTGCTGAGCAGTTTGAAAAGCAATTTAATCGGCTAGAATTGTTTGATTCGCCGGCCAGTGATCGCCTTGCTCCGTGGGCTCTCTTTGGATCCACCATCTTTCTCAGAAGTCGAACGTGAGATCGGAGTGTTGAAGTGGAACAAAGGCGCGGGACCAGATGCTCTTCCTCCAGCCCTCTTCAAATTCGCTCTGCTGTTGATGATGATTTACATGAATTACTAGTGAAACTGTGAGAGAAGGAGACTGTCCCAACCGACTGGAGCCGCTCCGTTATTGTTCCCACCTATAAAGAAGCCTCGCCTTCCGAATGCAGCCACCATAGAGGAATCAGTCTGATCCCATCGCCTTCAAGTTACTCGCCTCCATAATACTGCACAGGCTGACTGGCGCTTGTGAAAGCCATATTCGTGATTAGCAAGCCGAGTTTCATTGGGGTCGTGGCTGCGTCGACCACATCTACACGTTGCGTCAGAGGTTGGAGCACCGTCACACATATTGGCAATCCACCGTAGTCGTGTTCCTTGAAATGTAAGATGCCTACGATTCGGTTGATCGATGTGCACTTTGGGACTGTCTACTCAGGAAAGGGTGTACCGAGAGAAATATGGTAGATATTATCCAAGCATTATACGCGGCGTAGCACAGGCAAGAGTGAGGGCTTACGGCAAGCTGTCGCCACCCTTCAATATCTCCAGAGGTGTGAGAGAAGGATGCCTGTTGTCAACCTTTCCTCTTCAACTTCGCTATGGATGAAGGCACAGACATCTCACTTACAGGACACGACTGTAGAACGTGCGAAGCTACTCCCAGGAGAACGACTTCCTGACTTGGAGTATGCAGACGACGTTGCCCTCATATGTGACAGCTCACAGACGTGCCAAGCCGCGCTGGACAGATTAGCGCTGGCTGTCAGCCGTTC